TTAATGTATTGCTAGTGAACAATTTTAAAATTAGCTCGTTTTTCAAGTACAAAGATCCTCTCCCTGTTCTTATGCGATCATCCCTAGTTTATCAATATAGTTGTGTGCAGTGCGCATCTGCGTATGTCGGTATGACATTGCGCAATTTTTATGCTTGGCTTGCAGAGCATAGGGGCAGGAGTTATAGAACAGGGAACATACTTGCACATCCCCCTCATTCAGCCGTACATATTCATGCCGAGCAGTGCAACGTCCCGGTGTCCAATAGTGATTTTAGAGTTTTAGCCTCCACAACCGGTGTTTGTGACCTACGAATTTTAGAATCATTATATATTTTTAAACAGAAACCCATTTTTAAATGCTGCATTCAGTTCCTATCCTCTACAAATTGTAAATAGATAGTACTTTCTCTACATGCCATCTCATTTTTATTTCTGTTATCTTTGATTTTAGTTCTAATGTCCTCAAGTTTAGGTGAATTGTTTGAATGTGAATTTTAGGTTACTAGTTGCTTGTACCTGTGTTCTAGGTTTTGAATTGACGATGGAGCTGGACTCCAAAACGTTTTCTCTTATAAGAAATGGTGAAATTTTTGGCTATTTTCTTTGCTTTTAAATTCCAGGGAATGCGTTTATTCAGTTTACTAGCCGTGAATGCCGTGTATATCGTATCAGTTTATGGCTCGTACTGGTATACGTATCGCATATCAGTTTACCGGCCGTGAATATTCATTATATATGATACTAGGCCTATACATTTTCCAGGGGAAAAATGTGTTACTTGCCTTTAGATAAGCTAGGTACATACGGTAAGTAAGAATAAAACGTATAATATTTACAGATCAGATAACATTGTCATGATCCATTATCCTGCAGCAATGATAGTGTTGTTGCAGTTGGCTGGTTTGTTTGAAGATCAAAATGATTTGCTTTGTTCTATAACATCAAATGTTTTGAGTTCTTTACTTTGCCTTTCAATTTCAATATAAATTGGTTTTGCAAAACGTTGAGGTTTCTGGTTAATTGGTGTGTTGTTGGTCAGTTCTGTGGTCTGAGTTGTCACATGAGCACATTCAATATCAGGATTGGTATTACTACAAGCCATCCAAACCCTGGTTACTTGGTAAACAGTGATAAAATTCTATCCTTTTCCTCTTCAAAAAGGTGAAAAGGAATTTCATTTTCCATTCTTAGAAGGTTCCATTCATCAGCATCATTATCTTTGTCCAGTTGTACTACCAAACTAACTCTACCAAGTACATCGCCTTTCTTGATTCGTTGAAGTTTTGTTTCTCCATCACCTGTACCCATCCATCCACAAATTGTTTGTAAACTTCAAGCGTTTTGTATGCCTTGAATTCTTGCAAGGTGTATTGGCTGACCACCAAACACCAAATAGTTTAGTAAATCACCGTGTTAAATGGGAGGCAGGCTCACAAAATCTGCTCATCACGGCTTTGCCGGCACTTTGTTGGCATCAACATCGTTGATGTCGAACGAATCTTCTTAAATATCGGTCTCTCACTGAAGGAAGGAGTTTTTGACAACAGCCGAATCCTTTCTGTAAACGTCCAAATGTGTAGGAACGAGAGAGTAAGCTGAGGTGCCAGTGTGATACAAAGATGGCGGCATAGCAACGCGGCTAACGTGGATACGCGGGAGCTTGGCAAGCCCGATAGCGATTTTTTTAGCGAAACAGGAGCTCAACTTTTTTGCGCGATCAATAAATCTTGTTGGTTATTGTCCTTTGTTTACCTAGCAGCTAATCAAATTTATCCAATCATGAAAATCTTAATTTCAATATTTAACCAATATTATACTATTATATATACTATATAGTTTTATACCCAGAAAAACTTCTGCCCCAGCTCACTATTCACAAATTTAACTCCAAAATTTTTCCCAATCCAATGAATCTAGGTATACAGTGAAATTAAAAGTCTTTAATTTATTAAAAATTAGGACAACAAATGTGTGAACAATTATTCAACATATCTAAATAACCACAAAAATTTGAAAAAACTTTCACCACTATGCAGCACTAGCAGCACTGCAGCAGTAGTTGACTCTAGTCTCTAGACTTCATTTTTTTGTAAAATTAGCTAGTGCAAATTAAAAGCTAAGGCTATTGTTATTAACAGCAGTTACCGTACCAATTAGTACTAGGTACTATTCTACTAGACATCTGAAAGTTCACATTGTCTGAAATCTGAATGCCCTGTGAAGGCTGTGAAAAGCAAGGTACGCACTCAAGCGGATTCCCACCCAGCACAGGAATAACAATTGGCAGTTACTTTTCTAGAATTCTATCTCATTGCAGCACTAACTTCCTTCTTTGCAAGCATGTTTCATCTGGGACTCTACAGAGCACCAGCTAGAGCTAGGCTAGCCAAGAAATTTGGATCCTCAGCTACAAATAGCTTAGCACTAAGCACTGGATTCAGTGGAACAGTGGAAAGAAAACTTCCAATATTGGGGCAATACCTACTTATTGTTGTGATTTGATCATAGAAACATTTCTTTATTAAGTCATGCTCAACAAATTCAGTGATTCACATTGATTTTTACTGACTATAGAACTGATCATAAAGCACCCAGCTGACCCAGGCATTTTCTCCAGCAGTTTTTGACAACAACTTGAACAGTTGCTGGTAGTAGCACTTCATGCTCTATCTTAGTGCAGTTTTGTAGGGCATCATCTAAATTAATTGTAAACTCCCCATTTAGCAGCATTTTACCCCAGAATGCTTTGTAGTTTGAGTTTCACAGTTATATTCTGATTTCATTTGCCCAAAAAGGATATTTTTTCATGGTCAATACTTTTGTGATGCAAATTATTATTTTAGATGTAGTTGTATAATAAATGTTGGGTACCTCATAAAGCATGCATTGCCCAGAAAGATGTTAGTCAACTCACTTAGACAAAAGCAGTGGCCAGCGCACTAGCTCCCATTTCTTGTCATGTGTGTAACTAAAGTTGTTCAAGTTTGAATGAGTTGCAACACTGGAATACAGACTATTTTGGGAGTTGCACAAAGTGTTAAGGACCAGCAGCATATATACTAGTGGCAAAGCAGAGAGTTTTTTACTCTTCCTCAACTACGCTTGTGACTTGCAGTGAGTCAGCAGCTGCTCTGAGAGCTACAAGTCGTAGTTTTGACCAGTATTCTCAAGTTAATTTTTTAGTCCTATAAGTAGACCAGCAAAGTATCATGGATACCAGCTTTTTCATACATAAGATATTGATTTAAATCTTGAGTAAATGAGGAAATTAAAAATAAACTGCTTCTAATGAATCTCTGGTTTGCCCCTATGACTATGACCAGCAGTAATGACTAGATAATGGATTTTTACCATTGTTAACATGACATGATGACAAGGCTGTACTGATCATGCTAGAATATAGATGTGATTCCATTTTGTTAATAAGATAGATTGTTTCTATTTAAAATGGGCAACTTGATTGCTGTGGAAGCATTTTTGGCATTGATGTTAAGAATGGAGTGAGGGACTTGTACATACATACTCAGAAATCAGAATGTGGGAAAGTGTTTCAAGACTAAGTGGGTTATTGTTAATACTAATAGCCTAATACCTTGCAGGCTTGCTATCCCTGTATCAAAGCCAGCCATGCAGCAGGTTCTTATCTTATTTTTGAAGTTCCTTGAAGGATTTGCTCTCCTATCTCTATTTTTTTAATCATTAATATTGAAGGTAGTTTCAGAAGTAGCTTGTAAAAAAAGATATTTTAACTTCAAAGGACATGTTTTAAAATTTTTTGTTCCATTGTGTGTAGACTTAAAACTTGAATTATTCAAATTAAATACATAACCATGCAGAACCTTTGGAGGTGAATATTGTTGCTTTAGAACTCGGTATAAATTGTGATAGTTGCCAGTTTCCAGCAAGCTAAACTTTACTAATCCTGTTGCATAAATTTTTCAATTCTATTTTATTTGGATTTCCAGTTGATCTATTTGAAATTATCATTTATACTACAAATCATGTCATCAAGTGGAGGTGATCAGATGCCCAAACTCAATGTTGCAGATGATGCAAGCCATTTATCTTCAGCTCAGAAAAAGTACATGAGGATCCTTGAACAACAGGTATTAGTCTTCTTATTTGCTTACGAAACTATGGTTCTTTCATATTTTCTTGTGAGTTTTCATTTATATTTACCCACGCTCTTCATTGATGAGCTGGTAATGAATTTCACATATATCAGTTTAATGAGGCTAATTATTGGAATAAAACATTCTCGCATGTTCTCATAAATTTGAAGTAGCCAAAGTAAGCAATGAAATCTCCAAGTCACCTTCTATGTTTTCTTTCAATTGCGATTTTTTTTAAAGTTTCTTATTATATTAATAACTATGTATTGATGTATTGTCATTCATATTTAGATTTTTTCAATAATTCTCTGTTCCTTATTGTTTTTCAGAATGCAGAACGAGCCAACAAAATCATGAGGATGAGGCGCAACAACAAGTTTGTGGGAAGCTGCTTAGGATTGGGTGCATTAGCCATTTATTCTTACTCCATATACTCTGTTAAACAGGAAAAATTCTTAGATGAACTAGAGGAATTGGATGAGTGAAGGAATAAGCTTCCTGACTCATATATTGTATTGGTTACCTATACCTGTATATATACTTGTATGTTTTGTTTAGCGATTAGTAATGGTATCTCTTTTTTTTTGTCCTATTTTTTTCTGTCATGAAAAAAAATTAAATTATTCATTATCTACAATTTTTAGGAACTGTGAACCATATTTTTGAACACTTATTTTTAACAAAATGCCAACACTAAACTTCATTATGAATGAGAAGATAATAAATTACTATTCCTATCTTTTTGCATATTCTTGATCTACTATTACAGCATTGCTGATTTTCAAACTTATGTAGATGGATGAGTAAAGACAATGAGAAATTTAAAACTATTTATTGAACTGTAAAAATACATGATGTTGAAGTCCAGTCATTCAAAAATGCAAGATACATACTAGTATACAGTTTGTTTGCCAAACTTGAATTCTGGCATCAGCAGTCAAAAATGTTAAACTATGGACTATGGTATGCATGTCAAAGCACTTAGGGTTACTTAAAATTACTGGCCTCTATAAAAAATGTACTGTTGAAGAATATTCACAAATGATACTAAGGTTAGGTACTTATAGATGCAGGGCTAAAAAATGTTATTTACAGAGTAAATTTGGTCTCCACCAAGCTTTAAAAATATTGTCGTACCTTTGCAAGTGAAAGGAACGCAACCACAGATGATGAGCATTCCCTTAATGCGCACTTAAATGGGGCTTAATGTAGCTTTACATATTGAATACCTACCTATCATGTTAGTGATACATTTTGTGAGAAAATAACAAAGGCTAACCACACTAAATTCTTGTATTTATAGTTTTGCTTAGTGGAAATTTAAAACACGAGATATACCTATATATTTTCATACTTGTAAATTTTAAAATAGGTACTTTTCATTATTAAATTACAAATAAGAAATCAAAACGTGTGTAGACCATGACTAAGGCATTAGACCTTGCGCCTATGAAGTAACAAAAAAATATATACTTTGTTGATTTATCTTATCCTTTTGGTCTAAATTTTGGCTGAAGTTCAATTCCTTTGTTTTTTGTTCGAATGTCCGAAAGATCCACCCATGTATTCTTTGTCTAAGCTCTAAGGATACATAAATCGTTATCATCGCTATTCATACCTAAAGGCCTAGGTAACTGGAGCGATTCTCAGTGAAAAACAGCAGAGGTAACGTGACATTTTACATAAAAAAATTACCATATATGTTCATAAATATGAGAAAATTTAGTACTGGCAATGAAGATGAATTTAGAAAACGAGTTGAGGGTGTCGAGCCAAGTTCTGTAGGAAGGCAGCGACCGGTACAGGCTCTATGTTGCCGTTGTTGACCTGGCGGCTGACGCTCACCTCGGTCCTGGTGACAACACGCGGCTGTGGCGGTAACGTCGCTTCTGCTGCGCTCTCCAGCTCGCTCTGTGGCATGTAACATGTTATAGTATATTAATATTATAATTTTATATGAATTTAATACCATTTTGAATATGAATTCAATATCATTTTTGAATATGAATTGAATACTATTTATGAATATGAATTTAATACCATTTTTGAATATGAATTGAATACCAATTTTGAATATGAATTGAATACTATTTATGAATTGAATACAATTTTTGAATATAAATTGAATATATACAAATCGATGTTTCCATTTGATGCAAAAATAGTGGACAACAGTAATTGCTTAATATTAAAATTTAATACTTGAATAATGTCAAAAAGTAATTGTTTCACGTTGTAACCCAATACTAAAATAGTGTCAAAAAGTAATTTCTAACCATTAAATTCAATATAAGAATTGTGTCAAAAATCAATAGCCCAATTTTACCTTTTAATACCAGAATAATTCAAAAAAGTAGTTGCTTAATATTAAAACTCAGTATCAAATTATAATTGTTTCCGGCCAATCACAGACGGCTTTTCAAGCTAAACCCAACATTCACGGATGTAAAATCGGCCGCTACGCGTACTTATGCGAGTTTTGCAAATGCGACCCCAGACTGGGCCCACGGCAATAGTATTTGTACATTCCCCTTACTATACTGCTACTTACGTACATTCCCATTACTCTACTGCTACTTACTTCAACTTCGGGGAAAACTTGTTCATTTTTTACGGACGGTATGTGTTGTAGGAGGAGAGGTCCCTTCACTCTGTACATCACACCGAGATTATAGATGCTCTCGCCAGGCAGCTCGAGCTCAGTGCCTCCGATGCTAATTACACCATCTGAGAAAAATACTTAGTTTTAACAACTTTACTTGTTTACACAAGATAAAATTTATCTAGCATCTATCGAAAGAAAGCCGATCATATTGAATAATGCTGGACATTTTTCAGGAATTTGGGGTAAATTGTGTTTTAAAAATGAAGAAATAAATCTGGTATAACTAAATCATTTATGTTTCGGTAAAAAGGAATGTTCAATGATGGTGTTGAAATAGAGCAGGATAGTTGCTGGAAAGTGAAACGTAGTTCTAAATGCTAAAAAATTGAACTACCGCAAAAATGTACATAGAAAAGTTGAAGATGAACATTCTGCAAATGAATTGAAATAGACGGTAAAATTTACTACTCACCATCAGTGACGGTAACAGGCAAAGTATCGTTCAATATCGTGGTCACTTGAGTCATGTTCTTGAGATCCTCAACATTGAGCCGCCCTTTAAGAATGTGGCTCCCAACGAGGCGGTTCCTTTCCTCGGTATCGGCGAAGAAAGGATCGTTAGGGAATACGGGGAATGAGTCCTCCAGCAACTCGGCGGCGACTCTTGGCTTAGCAGAAGCGATCCAAGCTTTGATGTCGCTGTCTGAAGGCACCAGAGCTGTGTACTCCAAGTGGTTCGATTCGTCTGTAATTAAAAGTTATTAAATTGAATAATGAGATATAAATCCGCAAGATTTAGAGCAAGGTTGCGTCTAAATATTATCCGTTATATGATTAGACCCTGTGCACATTTGGTCTCTGATTTGCAATCGAAATATTTTGAAAGTTCTAGGTAATGATAATATGAGAAAAAGAATTACACGTTCGAAATTGGTATATCTTTATAAATTATTTGCTGCCGATTGTTACTTTGATCGCTATGAAAGCTACCTAATATGAATAAGAATACCTAAATCTGCGACAGTATTCATTTGGAATGAAAAATGCTAACGTCGGTAGCTCTCCAACTGTAAGTGAAAAAAATATAACTCAGTACTCACTGCAGTGAGTACAGAGAGCGCATCTTCTCGTCGACGAAAACGAGAAGTCACGGGCGGACATGCCGAGCACAATAGCGCCTTCTTTTCCATAAATTAGAAAATGCGCTAAAAAGGCCAAACTCACCATCAAAAGAGCGCGCCAGATGAGAGAGATGTGAACGTGCGAGATACGAAGCGAATTTGCTCATAGTTTGGTCGCGCTGCTGAAAGGTGATGGTGAATGCAGTAGGCTCAGTCTTCTGTAGGAGGTGTGAGAGGAACTGGGACATGGGCCAGGGGCTGCCCAACAGAGGGGCGCGCTCCAAGTGAGGATGAGTCTTCTGCAGCATTGCCACCTGGAATATTGGTTTATTAGTAATTGAGGGAAAACCGCGCGTTCTAAGAAACCGATACTGAATGTTCAGTTTAGAAATTGAGTGAGACAAAAGCGCGCATTTTATGAAATTTCAAGAAATTTCTCAGAAATTGAGGTTGGATAGAATTATATCGAGTCAGTCGTTCATATTCTGATAGAAACTGTTCAAGTAAAAAAAAAAAACAGAACTAGTTTGTTTAAACCATGTCACAGTTTACTGAAGATAGAAGATATCAATTATAACCAAATCTATAAACTTTACTACATATGTAAGAGTGAAGATTAATTTCTAATTCTATAGTAGATTTTTTATCAAACCCCCCCCCCCCCATGCAGTGAATGTAACCCTCTGATAAGTAGGCGCTACTTACGGTGGCGTGGTTGACGTTGAAGAACTTGGGTACGGAATAAATGCGGCCGAACGGACCGATAGATTCGCTCTCAGCCAACACCCGAACTCCGCCTACTGCGAGCACGCCTGAAAGAGAGGAGAGTAATTCAGTTGAACACTTTTATTCTAACTTTTAATGATAATCTTATATAAAGAATTTAAAAAAAAACAAAATAAATGCGAAGTAAATTCACGAAATCTGCATTGAAGAATGCCGGCATTTCCTTTGCTTTTAAATTGTTTGGGCGCACTTGCGATTCAAACTGATGATATAAGTACCTAATAATAAAGTTTTAGTAAAAAAGATTAAGACTCGTGATATAAGTACCTAACAACGCTATAGTAAGAATGTCAATAACAAAAAATCGTCTGAGAGGAGGAGAGGAAGGTATGTAGTAAATTAAACATATATGTTCTTACTCGTAATATAAAAAAAAAGTTTATAGTAATAAGTCACTAAAAATTCGAAATACCAAGGTGACTACAAGTATTATTAATAATAATAGCGGTTTCAGCGTTTATTAGGCCGTAGACCTGTCGACGATTCTCAACATAGCAGAACATTTACAGCTTGTCGCGGATCTCGCACACGCAACTCACTGCTCCAATTCTGCTGTGCTTAACCGCCCGGCCTCCTCGCTGATTCCTACAAAAAATTGTCGCACAGAGCCGGCATCGAACCTACGATTCACTGTTCCAATCTTAGTACTCTGAACTGTATATACCACTGGGCCACCCAGCCCTACAAGTATTGAAGCTCGTTGCCTCAAAGGTCGTTACTCAGACATTCAAGTAACGGTGAATCGCTCAAAATGTGTCAACGATGTAATGCTTACTGATAGAATAAACGTGATATTAGAATAAACGCTTGCTGATAGAATAAACGCTTGTTGATAGAATAAACGTAATATTAGAATAAACGCTTGCTGATAGAATAAACGTAATATTAGAATAACCGCTTGCTGATAGAATAAACGTAATATTAGAATGAACGCTTGCTGATAGAAATAAACGTAATATTAGAATGAACGCTTGCTGATAGAAATAAACGTAATATTAGAATGAACGCTTGCTGATAGAAATAAACGTAATATTAGAATGAACGCTTGCTGNTAAAGCAATGAATTTAATACATTCATTCGGCTTCATAATAAGACGGAAATAAGGAAGATCTCATTACGAAATATAAGGAGAAAAGTCGTTTTCTACGCAGAGTTACGAGGAAAAAAAATCATGGAAGCTCCGAAACTGGTAATTGCTTTGTCAAAAATAAAAATGTACGCAAGTCGAATTGTTTAAATGATTTTATTTATCAGAATTTTAATTTAACACACATTTATTGGAATTTCAAGAAGGATTTCCAAAATTTGGCTCAACTATTAAAGCAATACTTTGAATTTTTTAAGCGAATAAATGAAATTGTTAGGCTTTTTTCTATTCACAAGATAGTGTGCGCTTCAAAAGCGGCTTCTACCTCTAGAAAGGTACCGGTCGCAAGAAATAGGCTTCATATCCACAATTGCTTTACATTTATGCCAATATTTAATATTAAATTCTTTCATGCATGTTATGATTGAAAACCAAGTTGAATTGAAAATTTATTTCAAACATATTCTGATTGCTACCAACATTCGATTTAACAATGCCCGTGCATTTCCATATATGTACCTAGCAGCTAGCATTAGATGTTAAATTTAACCCAGCCTGAAACTACTAATTACGGCTTGTCCAGCTGAGAAGACTAAAAGTTTTGGAATAATTCCATCCCAAGACCAATAACATTAAAATAACTAAGCATTCTTGACCAGTTTAGAATTAGTTGTTGGCCTCGAACACAACAACCGTGGTCTGAAGGGAAACGTTTTTATCGCTGTCATGTAATGATGAAGATTCTTATAGCCTTGAAGGCCTACGATGATTACTACTTGCGATTTGTGTATACACTTTTATCCTAAGAAAAACATAGCCACGTGTTGGGTATTTTTACAACACTTCTCTTTAATTTCACTTCATGTTTGTTTGACATGTGTAACATCAGAAACACTGAATTCATTAGAAGTGTTGTCTTTAAGAGGTAATTTGTAAACTCATATTATTTATCTTACATTGCCACAGACCACGTGTACTGTTATCGATTCAGATCTCTTCGTTCAATGTTTTTCATTTCTTCCACTTGTGCAAGAAAATCACTGCCTCTATTGGGGCATTTTTCATCCTATATTTCAACGAACCACGTGTAATTTTATTCACTCCGATCTCACCGTTAAATGGTTCTCTTAATTTCATTTGTGTAAGATAATCTCTGCCTCTCTTGGTGCATTCTTTATCCTACATTTCAACGAACCACGTGTGATTTTATTCATTCAGATCTCACCGTTAAATGTTTTTCGTAATTTCATTTGATTTGTGTAAGATAATATCTGCCTTTCTTCGGGGATTTTTTATCCTACCTTGCAACGAACCGTATGTAATTTTATTGATTCAGATCTCTTCGTTAATTTTTTTCGTAATTTCATTGAAAACCAAATTACTGCTTCCGACTTGGACGAAAATTGGGTAGATGTCCTTGGATCGAATCAAGTTAGCCTCAAGGCCGGGAATCGTTGCCGACTTATTTATGAAAATCCCGTAAAAACGGCTCCGCAAGCACGATCCGACTCGACAATTGAGGGATGTTGCAACCTTGAGGGATTAAACCTCGAGTTCGATGTCTCAAAGTGAAGGTCTGCAACTTGTGTTAGGAACTATATCTTCGATTTATATACACATACTTTTGTTAAAGATGGTAAACGATGAGATGTATTTCAGTGAATCAGACTGCAATTCATGCTTACAGTGCATTATTAATTTAAAAATTTTAAAAGAAGGAATTTTTTGTCAATTCATGTTTACAGTGCATTATTAATTTAAAAATTCTATAAGAAGGCATTTTTAGTTTGTAATAGAGTGGCTGACTCGGTGAGTGAATTCGCGATGTATTCAACAATGCCATGTCCTTATTTACCGGATTTCCAAACAGAAACAATTCCAAGACGTTGAAAATGAATCTTTCGTTTCGTTAAATGAATCGTTGAAAAAAACACTAAAACAGAAAGTAGAATGTTTGGTTGTAGTTTGAACATGGAAAATTTTCAACAGTTTAAAGTCAAATATTCGTTTGCAGGATATATATTGAGAAGTTGAAACGTACATTTTTATATGCAAAAATTACTTTCAAACTAAGAAAACTTACGATTTAGTTGCAGGAGGAAATTAAAAAGTTGAAATTCACGTCCCTTCTTCTAGAAAAAATATTTAAATGTTTATAAAACATTTTTAGGGTTTACATTGAACAGCGAGGTCTGACCGTTTGTCTTGTTGATGCTGACGCTGTTGCCAGCGAGGGTGATCACTCTGGCGCCGTCAGGAAGGTCTTCGAGAGCGACGTCGCCCTCCAGCAGGTGCTCCTGAAGGGTCTTCTTCAGGAAGCTCTCAACCAAGAAGGGGTTGAAGCCCCAGTCGATGGGGTAGAAGGCGTAGAAAGCCTCGTCCGTGGGTATGATGGCCGTGAACTGTTTTGCTGATGATAAAATATACATTTGAGCATCTGATCCGCAAATAGGATGAAACTAGGAATGTATGTATCGGGAGGTTCAACGTGAAATAGACACTACAATTACAATCGCCATTATATATTTACTGTTAAAAAAATTTAAAAAAAATCGTAGACTAATAGGAAATTTTTTTTAATATATTTTCATGCTTAAATCAGTCACCGACAGAGAACAAATTTTTCCGACAAAAATTATAATATAAGTCAATTCAAGCATTTATATTAAAAACCCTAGTTTGATCCTTAAAAATTATTACACTTACGTTCGGTTAGCTTCTGAGAAACGCCCGACTCTACAAGGTGATGTAGGAACTCCTTGCCTCCGAACTGCTGCCGAGAATTAATTTCATTTTTCATCCAGTCGAGGAAATCTGAAAAATTGCTCGAACTTTTTGTGTCGCTAAAAACCTCGCCCGTGGCTTGGATCTCAACCACAGGGGCATCAATGGTCGATTTTTTCGTTGTTTGTGAACTGAAGAATTCGTTAAATGGTACGAAGTCGCTGTCAGAAACAGTTTGTTTATTGAGAATTACGGCTTCATTCTCGCTCTCAGAAGTAGGTTCTAAAGTCGTTACTTCTATTTCAGTCAAATCTTCTGTTAGACTGGTCGTTGGTTCAACTATTTCATCAAAAGAACGCGATAGAAGGTCAGGTTCAGTTGTGGTACCTTCAGATTCGGTCGAGGAAATGACATTTGCGAAGAAGGAAAATATGTCCACAGGGCTTATTGTTGTCGTCGGAGTTGTAAACTCTTCACTTAATCCTGTAATTTCTTCTGTTTGCGGAGATTCTGTATCGTCTTGAACCACAACAACCTCAGTGGTTGTTCCTTCATCAATAATTTCTGTGGTTGTGAGAATTTCAGGTTTCTCGGTTGTGGAAGTAGCAACAACAGGGAGGTTTTGTTCAGGAGTCTTCTCGTTGAAGCTCTTCCGTCGGATGGACTTGAATTTTTCGAATCTGGAGGACCCTACTGGTGGTTTTCCTGAACCATCGAGTGAAGTTGAGTCTTTCTTGCGACGGCCAACCATCAACGGCGATGGTCTAGGGTTCTGTGATGCGACGACCTTCCTCATTCTCACGATAACAGGAGCCTCAGAAGTGTCCGATTTCGTCTCACTTTGAATGGAGTTATCGAGTATTTCAGTGGCGGTTTCAATAGGCAGATGCTTTTCCAGAATCACTACTGTGCCTCCATCGACAGCAATGCTGCTGGGCACCACCTTAATGCCATTCACTTTTGTTCCTTCTGCAAAATGAAAGCCAGCAGTCATGATTCAGCATTCAAATTTTTTTTTTTTAATATCTACTTACTGAAAATTCCGTATTATACTTATTACAGTTATTTACAGGATCTTGAATGCAGCACGTGACAAGTTGTATTTTAGGTCTTCATATTCATATACTCGTTCTGTATCATATATGCAAAGTATATGGTCTCTCGATAACCGTTTCTCAAGTAATAAATTGGCCATGCGCCAAATTTATTCTACCTAACATTCATTAATTTGGTAAATTAATATACAATAAGTATTTCGGCTTCGCATTATTAAATTCAGTGAGTGATTTACCGTTATCCGTGACTATCGTTATGGGAACGCCTCCAAGAGATGTAAGCTGCTGGCGCTCCTCCGCAGCGAGGTCCACGGCAGAGCCCAGCACCACGTGGTTGAGGAGGAGATTTTTGGTCTCAAGTTTGTCTTTAAGAAACCCGCCCACCCCGGGGCCAGGGAGTCCCGAGTTCAGGGGGACGAACAAAGTCCATGGCTGATCTAAGAGAACAACAACGTACATTGTTTTACTGATAGATCATACATAAATTGGGTTCTAAACTGACGATATGGAGTCAAAACAATAGAGTATAAAATACAGCAATGTCAACTGAGTGGGTGTAGAATACAGAAGTGGGAATAGAATATATGAATATTTTGCAGTTATAGAGGAAACATCCATCACGTCACCAAAAATAGGCAGGACGAAAACAGGAAATGAGTTAAATAGCAAAAAAGCTACAAGACTTTAAATATAAGGCACGGGCAGGGATGTGATATCCCACTGAGGCAGGGGAAATATCACACTTCTACTTCCTCCAAATCTATTTGATCGCAAGAGATCAACATTCATAGATGCTTCGGCCGTGATTATATTACCGCGTCCACGATTGAAACCAATTGGGACAAATTTCTAGCTGAAAAATTGAATTTTGTTCGAACGAGTCTAACATACAAGGTGTTTCACGGAAACTTTCTGCTTTTTATTTCGCGCCAAGCAGCCAGATGTTGTCGGAAAAGAGCGGTGAGTATTTCATACGAAAGGTAAGGTCATGAAGCGTTCCGTACCGCTTAGTCAGTTGCCACTTTGCATTGGACAAGTGTGCAGCGTGCGTTTGCTGTAGAGGCCTACTTTTTTAATGGCCGTTTGGCCAGAGTTGTCTGTCTGAGAAAACATTTCTGCAGAGTGCCTCATCTCCATGAGTGGTGACCTTCTTTGGCCGGTCCGATCCCCCGATTTGGCTCCGTGAGATTTTTTACGGAGTCATCCTAAATCAATTGTTTACCATGACTGTCCACGGACTCTACCTCATTTGAAGAACAACATACGACAAGCCATCGCCAACATACCCGTCAATATGCTTTAGCGAATTGAACGGAACTACAAAAATCAACTAACTGAATGCATTGCCAATGCGGGCCGTCTTTTGTCCGAGGTCATCTCAAAAACTAAATGATACAAAATTCAGTTAATGTCTTATTCAATAAAATTTATATTGTAATGATATCTTTACTAGTTCTTATTTTTATTGAGCTTTCAGATGAGGAAGTTTCCATGAATCACCCTGTACTTCATCATCGCAGGGGATGGGGTAAGAACATGCCAGATATGTTTTATCTTCCGTGACGTGAGATGCAATAATGAGCGGAGTAGTACTTAGAATCTACCGAACGCAGGCTAACCTTGTAATGAAAAGCATGACTGCACCTTTGTATGCTAAAACCCGATGTATATGCTGTAGACCTCTGAATTACGCAAGCTGTTTCGCTTATATATACGCGAGGACTATGTAAATCAAATGCCAAAGCATTTGCCTGTTGGCCTTCGAATTTCTCATGCTTATACGCTTATATGCACCCCCGGGTACACGTATGCGTGCCGCGCCATTCTCGTATGATCCCCCACAAACTGGCCCGCAGAGTGAGGAAACGGAGCGGACGAAGGCGGCAAGTGGGCTCATCCGCAACTGCAGACAGCGACCCCGGACGTGCATGAGCTTTTAGTTCTTCCCTCCATACGCAGTCATCTGCTTGTTTCTTTAACCTTCATACGAAGTTATGGGCTTACTGCTTCAGCAATTTACTTTGTTACTTTAGGTTACTTTACGTAACATTTTAATTGTTTCGATTATCTTCATACGCAGCCATGCGCTCATTAACTTCATTTACACACACAATCATGCGCTCATTGCCTTCATTTACATACACAATCATGAGCTCATTGCCTTCATTTACATACACAATCATGAGCTCATTGCCTTCATTTAAACAAACAATAAGGCACACATTGCTTTCATTAGACACACAACCATCCGTTCGTTTTATTTTAACGCGCAGTCATGCGTTCGGTGCCTTCATGCGCACCCTTGTATTATGGGCACTCTGAAAAATACTATCGCTTTTTAACGTACGATTTCAGAATAATTAGGAATGTCAGAAAATATGTCTAAATGCACGGTTTAGAACCAAGTCTCAGAAAATAGAGATAACTACTGTGTAATAATATGTTGAAAAGATCACGTCTAAATATCATATCTCCCTTTAGGCTGAATACGAGATAAAAAGCCTGTGTCGTAGTAGTTTCCGCTTTGTTTCTAAATCAGCTTCTGTCGATGTTGCAAGCTATACCACAACAACACGAGACTTGAGACCGACCGCAACATATAAAAAAACTTTCTATCTCATTAAAACTCAGTTATCTACCCAGGGTCTAAGAAGTGCTAGTAGAATGAGGAAGCCCGACGAGCTATCTCCTTGAAACTCGCAAAAAATCAGGCTTGTGATGTCCGCGGTTAGCAATGATGTTTCACAAACTGGTAATTTCCACAAAATCCACAGTCAGCGATGTTGTTTCACAATCTCGTATTGACCATATTCACGGTCAGCGATGATGTTTCACAATCTGGTAGTAGTCACTATTTCCATGATCAGCGATGATGTTTCATAACCTGGAAGTTCATCTACAAACGTCCCGATGTAGCCGCAGTTCTCTGAACATCTCTCCTGAAGGCGCGGCGAACGGTCGAATAATTATCCTATCGGTGAAAAAAATATAAACTTCCGTAACGGTGCAACGTAATCATGAAGATTAATGAAGGTAGACAACTAATTCCAGGCTATGTTTTCCTACACGGATGCCATTTTTTTACGGATGAGCCAGTGTGTGAAAAAAATACGGAACATTTTTGTGGCAGATTAAGCTTAGAATTGATCTCCAGGAACTGATGACGTCATGGGGATGAACCCCAATTATCAATGATACATAAAATTCGAGGCTGAGGTAGAAGGCATAAAAATAGAAGGCATTCTTGTGAGCGATTGATTCGTCTTTTACGAAAAAAAAGACAAACAAATATTTCGTGCCAATTCTCATACAAGGGTATATAGTTGTACGACCAAATTTTACATAAATCTAGTAATTTTCATTAGGGAAGTATTATTTGGTGACGTTTCATAAAAAACTTACATTTCCACCATATATATTTTATAATTAAAAGGTAAGAATTTTGTCTAGAATTTAATACCTCAGTAGAATGAGCAAGACTTGAAGCATCAATTAAGGATAGTTTGGTTACACAGCGATATGGGCCACGGTCGAGCGCCACTCTCTAGCGGTGAGGCCGTCTGAAACAGAGGTCAGCCCGGGCAGCTTCTCGGCTATGCCGAACACTGAACTCCAAGTCGAAGAAGATTGCCCGAACATAGCCTTATTCCCTTGACAGAGATCAGGCTGGGAGGTGCTTCCGATAAAACCAAGTCATGAAACACATTATAAACAAAGCTTATTCTAGGAAATGCGCTCAATGGTTTAGGAAGCTTGACGGAACGAACTCTTTATCAAACAGACACATCAGGATCTAACCGTTCATCGAAGAAGCCAACCCTATATCGTGGAAATCACGCGGGTTTTTTATTAATAAGTTTTTAAGTTATAATTAGTTTATAAAGTTTAATTTAAAAATAAGTAATTATGTATAATATATAATTATAAATACGTTTATATTTATAAGTTAAATTAAGTTGTAACAGTTTTTTTTAATCGCTTACTGTTCAGGTTTAAAGAACACCGATTATAAGTTTAGCATAGTTATGACTTTTTCAAAGCACTTTAGGGCCTCGTGAAAGAGAAATCCACAACATTGCATCACTTAGATGCTGCGGTCACAATTTTCAAGGTTAGGTCTAGTCAAGTCTGTGATTGACAGATTCCGTTCCTAAGCCCAATCTTTATAGCAGATAGCATCGCCATTTCGTAATTATTTAGGTTATCTCATCTGGCTAGCGATCAAGTCTTGGAAAAGATCCGGACGTAATTTCAACACTTCATCACTGTGCACAATGCACGTAACATAAACAGTGCTGTCATATAAGCACTCGTTGCTGAAATAAATGAAAGTAAACTATGGAACCGATGTTCGAAACCGAAAACCAATCTCGCGCATCATTTCGCGTCGTCGCTTGTCGGTTAAATTAACAAATTTTTGCCCATTCAACGATTAACTTCGTACGAATTGTTCGAGCTCGAGCGAACAGTTATCTCAATTATGGTGCAGTTATATCGGCATTGATCTATACGGCAGTGGATACATACTTTCCTCCTATTTACTAATCATTTGAAACAATTCATTGTAAATTCTTTAATCAAATAAATGACATAATTGTCTAATTGTCTTACACTGATATTTATTGCTCGGTACACTTTCTCTAATTTTCAATAGCTAGAAAAACGTGATCAGTCACGGGCGCAAATTTCAATCGCGAGTTGCACAGTCATCCTCCCCAAGCCCAAGTTCGTCGATATGAATGCAGCTCGGTTATGAAGTAACGAAAAAAAACTCTTCTCATGGTACGACCTTGCCACACCCTGCACCTTCGGGCACACTTACGAAGCATATTTTATTCTATTTTTTCACGGGCGAAAGATTTTTTGACTAGATACCCACGAATCTTAAGGTAACGCGCGGATACCAAAACTTTAATTTTTTCTAAGATTTTAAAACCGGTGGATTTTAAGCCAGTTCGTGTTTTCATAAAATATTTGATACAGTGATATTTTATTGGTGGTGATGAAATTGTTCACTATTATCGCGTGCGTTATCAATTGGATCCGTTTCAAAATCTAGCAATAATTTTCGACCAATAGCTAGCGCGATTTTCACGTAATCTTTGTACTATATAGCCCCCATCACGCAATTTATGGCCTTATTCGCTCACATAATTTTCGTTTCTCAGTGCACTTGTTCATCCCAAAGAGCACCACCCATTCATGCACCATCACGTTATCACCCACCACCTACGTAGTTTCTCCGTACATCCATCAATCAAGATTCCCACAAAAGCTTCATGTTTAGACACTTTTTCTCAGTTTTTGAACCAGCGTTTACTTTCCACTGTCTACCACAAGCATGCCCGTTTTTTTTTTTTCATTCCTTTCCTGCCCACAGCGTCAGAATTCGTGTCAAGGTGATCCGGGTTCTACAGGCTGCTGTAGCAGACGACTC